CGACACTCCTCGACTTCTGAAAGCCGACCACACATTCGACCCTTATCTTTTGGTACGAAACGAACTTTTTACTGTCTCCTTCGAAACTTTTTCCCTTAGCGCTGTTTATTAAAACGCTACGCCTCAAAGATCCTTGGGAACGAGTCAAATCCATTTCTATATCTGTTCTATTTTTAGTACTAACATTGGAATGACCAATAAATTTTGACGCGACATCTTTAGGATAGCGATTTATTTTACGATCGACCTCAAACGAATCAACTTCAAGTATGTTTCCTTCGCTCCTCATTCTGCTAATCTTATTCGCTTTAGGACTGGGACAAATTGGGGCAGATTGTTGTCTAATAAACCGTTTACTTGTAAACATTCTATAAAAGCCATGCCTTTTCTCTTTATCTTTGCTCTCAGATTCATTACTCTTTTCAATACTGCTTCTATGACTGAAGAATTTCTTTAAACTGTTTGTTGTTCTTGACAAACTGCTGCTAGTTGTTGAACCATTTGTTGCTGTTCTTTGCACACGTCTATTCTGACTTCTTTCAGCGAAATGTTTATTACAAATGCAAATCTTGCAAAAACCAATTCGAAATTTAGATGACATCAAATTGTATAAAATTGGATTTATAGCCGAGTTAATATACAACATTATTCTCGAGAAATAAAGTAAATTATACCATTTTTCAGGACTTACAGTATCTGAGAGCTCTGATGGTGTTACTATTATCCACATTATTAGAACTCTGTAAGGCATTAGACATAAGAAAAAGCATAAAACCACAGTCCCAAGCATTAATATCACTTGTTTTCTAGCTCTCGTATTGTATGGGTCGACTGTTTTGTTTAATACAACTTTAGATGCTGCTGTGATAAGATTTTTAGCTATAATACTGTAGAGAACTATAAGTATAAATAAGGGGAGTACATAGAGCAGTATTATGACCATAATGAAGAATGTAATTTGCCAGTAGGTAACAGCTTGCGTGAGGCATTGTGAGTAGACTGTGCCATCTTGCCGTGTCACTGTGTGATGCTCTGCGATCGCCAGGATAGGACTGCAATAGAAGAAAAAGCAAAAGGTACAATTTCTACGTGCTAAAATAAAAAAAATACTATAACTACAAGGAAGAAATACATTACAGTGACGGAAAAATACAGCAAATGTATTTGAAGACCAGATGCTGATCAGAATAAGGCTTCTAAATAAAAATGTCACAATCTCCATGTTTTGCGCAAGTGGTTTGACTTCATATTCAAACTATTAGGTATAGATCTTTAGTATGACAGATTTTTGATTAATAAATTACATTAAATATCTTTCTAGCTCAATTTTCGAATATAAAGTATATCTGAAATAATAAATAGGATTTTTTTTAAATGCATTTCTTCCTTTAACTCTATTTCTAAATTCGCAAAGAAATTATTTAGAAAGTGAACATAAAGTAGAAAATAGAACATCTAAAGTAACGAAGATTTACAAGAAAGTTACACATATAGATTTATAGAGGGTGTTTTGAAACGGAATAGTGCGATAGAAGCTAAGGAATTCCAACCATTTTGTTTAAAATATTTACAAGTTACTTACGAATTACAATAATAATTACAGACATATTTTTTTATTTATTATATATAGCCAGTAACTTTTAATTCTCCCACAATTTTATAATTTTAGAGCATGGGCACATTTGACTAAACTATCGCACAACTGTTTAGTCGCGCTTTGATTCCAATGACCTTATATGGAGGTATAAGTACTCGATTTTGAGTTGTGCAACTAAACAGTTGAATTGTCGAAACAATCGACAATCGCACAAGTTAGTTTAATCAAGGGTGTGCGCCCGCTCTTA